CCCATGAGCTGGTGTGGGTCTAAGTGGTATAGCAAATCGCTGACCAGTTCCCTTTGGATTATGGATTATGGGGACTTTATTGTGCTTCCTCTCCCTGTTTCTATCTCTGGGGGCTGGGTACCCCAAGGACACATGATTCTACTGAAGCAAAGAAGACATTATTCATCAGCCATTTTCTCATCCTGTCACTGTGTTTCCCTCTTCATCCAGTAAAGGCTGGAGAGTGTCCTTAGCCTTCCTTGTGTTTCTGATTCATGGAAACATTTTTTCTTGTCTTTTGTGGCAGCAGGCAAAGTTCTGGCTGAGCTTTGGCCCTTCTATTTTTTTCCCTGCATACTATCACAACATCCTTGAAGTCCTTCCAAGTTGCCTGCCCTTCTTCCAAAAGTGATACAAATGAATATTCCAACAAAAGAATAGACCAAACTTGCCACATCAACTATAATGCAAAGTTACTTGTTTAGGTCAGGCAGAAGTACCCTTCTTATAGCTAAGGAAAACAACTTCTGCTGTCTAGCCTTTACGGATGTTGTAATTTTTTTTTGAGATGGTTCTTTCTAATAAGTATATATGTACCACTTCTCCTTCCTTCTTTGCTGGTAAGCCTACGTAAATGTTTCTTATAGAGAAGATCCAGCTCTTCAGGATCTATAAGGAAGTATATTTTAAAAATGCATATATTAGCTTATCAAAGTTCTGAAAATATTATTGTTGATCTGAGGGACAGATTGGTTGGAGGTGGCCAAGAATACCTTCATGTGTTACTGTAAATGATTTATGAACCCTGGGTTTTCATGGCATGTTAAAAATTCATGTAAATATTAGATTTAAAATTTAATTATCTGAACTAGCTGAAACACTTCTTTAGGCTTGTAATTGGGCAGATATATAGCATTATACACAGTTGGGGAGACTTGGGACCTGCGTCCAGATGATCAGATGTATTATGTAGCCTACTCTCATTGACAAAGAGTCAAAATTTGGTTCTAGAATTACTTGGTATCTCCCTTTAATAATCCAAATTCAGAATATGTCAATAACTTATGTTTATTCTCAGCATTTATTGCAAAAATATTTTGCAAAATTTCTTTAGACATATTTGGATTAGTACTTACTTAACTAGGAAGTACTACTAAATGTGAGATATAATAGTGAAATCTGACCCTGCATCTGCTCTTTTCTATCTTTCTGGTTTTGGAAAAATTATAAAACAGTTACCTTGCACTTAATTGACTTTTTTATTCAAATCACATATCTTTGTTGGGGCTGTATTCCTCTTAATTGACTAGAGTCATCTAAGCACATTATTGAAGCACACTAAACATGTGCTCCAATTTAAATTGTTGAATTGGCTTTTTAGCTGACAGTATGAGGGAACACTGGAAGGCAGATCATCCCACCTTTTTAAGAGTGTGACAAACTGCCTTGTGCAGCTGCCTGTCTCTGTCTCCCTGCTATCCATATGGGAGTGTAGACTGTTTGGTAGGTAAGTGCACCTGGTCAGACAGGGAGTTTTAGGTATCAGGTTACCAGAGATGAATCCATCAAAGATGTCTTTTTTTTCTTTTCTCTTCTTATTTTTCTTTTCCTTTTCCTTTTTTTTTTTTTTTTTTAGTTGAGAAATCAAACAGGTATCTATAAGGTCCTATTTTTTTGTACAATAGCAAAAATATTGTCAAGGAAACTGCTAAGGAAATATTCTCCTAGTATTCTCTTAAATTCCTAACAAAATAAAATTATTGATAATGTAAGTAAACAGAGAGATCCAGTCATCATTTAAAAATTTAACAAGCCGGCAAATAAAATATTTGTATGTGTGCTTATGGGATTTAATTTGCTAAAATAACTTCTTTGAGATTCCTGGAATAAGAAAACTAATAAACTGAAAAGCTTCAGTGTTGCCAAAAGAAGTAGGTCTTTAAGCATTTGGTTTGAGAATTTGTGTGAGCGGGAGGAAAACTCAAAGAGTTATATTGTCTTAATTGTATTTAAATTTGAAATCCTAGGAATACAGTCTTCTAAAATAGAGGTGTTATAGCCTTGAAAGATAAAGGAAAGATAAAGGATAATTAAACTAATTACAAATTAGTTTATTAGTTTAGTTTATTTAATTAATTTAGTTTATTTAATTAGTAAATTCAACTATTACAAATAAAGCTTTCTTGCATAAAAAAGAGAAAGCAGTAACTGTTATGAGTAATGTAAATGTTTATATTTCAAGTGTTCTCTGCCAGACTTCATATAAAATATCAAATATTCAAAGATATTTAAGCTAATTTTTTATCTTACTCCAGATGGTAAAGAATTGCTCCTTATTGTAGAAGTGAGCATGACAAACACAAGTATGCACCTAAGTAGAAAGGAATGTGCCCAGTTCTGTAATATAAATTTATAGCTCTTGGCTTGATGTCATTTAAGGCATCTCTTGCTAAGAAGGGGCTTGTGTAAGAGGAAGCTGCAGGTAAATGGAGGTATCAGATACTGCACCTTAGTTCTCAGAGAAGATGCTGTGGTTGTCACAGGACTGGCAGTTCTCATCCTCTTGGCTGATGGATGATCCTGTGATTTTTGATGTTGTCTCCTTCTCCAGGGAGCCTTGTTATCTCTGAAAGGAAATGTAACCAGCTATGAGCCTGTGCATTTACATCTCCTTTGAGGAAACATGGGCAATCAGTGAAGCAGCACAACACTGACATGTACTGACCAACCTTCCTGGCAGCAGGAATCAGCCTGCTAGATGGAGCTTCCTTTCTGAAGACATCGTATAGGCTGCAGTGTTGATCAGAAGGGCCTCACTGTAGGTGAGAATCTTGTCTCTGTCTCTCCCTATCTTTCAATGTCCTAGTGGCAGCCTTGGACTAGGAGTGTACAGTCTGCTCTCTGGAGATCGGGGCTCTCCTATCATGATAATGGTCACTAAGAGTGGAGAATGGTACATGAAGAACGTGCCTGCCACTGACCAACAAGTGGTCTGTGTTTCAGACCAATAATTTTTCTCTAATAGAGGCAAATTATTTCAAAACTTTCCACCTCTCCTCCTCAGAGTAAACAAACAGATAACAACTGATGAAATAGAATGTTTTTTTTCTTTAGAGCCTGAAAATTCTCAGTAGTAAAAGAGTAATAATAATAAACTTGTGAGGCTTGAGGTATAACACAGAAATGAGTTTACTTTTCCCTGTGCACAGTCACTTCAGAAATACCTGCTGCTTGCACTGGACCAGCCAGCCAGTCCTTTTAGAGTTAGGCCTATGCAGAGCAGAATCTAAAATTTGCATCAACCTTGAGTGATCCTTTGGTCTTAACAGCTGTATGTTTTGAATGCATACTAGCATGAGCTCTGAAAGGGTTTGTTTACATGATCTTCCTCCATCTCCGAACACCGCCGTCTCACAAGATTCCTGAATAAGGTCATCAGTACCCATGGAAAGGTTTCACAGCCTCGAGGACATGTTTAAAAGGTGTGACGCAACCTAGCTTTCCGCCATAATGCAGAATTCAGCTCCTGCATCCTAGCGCAGTGGGTCTTTTGGGCCGGGGTGTCCACTAAACTGTTCTCCAGACTCAGATAAGAGGTTGAAATGTGAGAGCTGAGATGAATAGACCAGGCAGAATCATGGGATTACTGACTGATCTATACCCCTTATACTACTCATCTGCTTGAAGAATGATTCAGACACTTAGATGATGAGTACGGGTTGAGAGTTTGTGTAGAACAGAAAAATGCAGTTAAATGAACAAATGAGACACATGTACAAAGCAAAAACATTTCATTTGTAACAATACCAAACAGAAACTAGGGAAAATGTCATGACTTTTGGAGAAGAGCACTGAAAATTTCTGATGAATGTTTGTTTCTATTATTAAAATATGATCTACATATAGATATAATATAAACCAAACCGTGGACAAATACAAGTAAGACAAGAGCTACTAATGCTGCAAAATAGTATTAAACTCCAACAAATTATATGTTTCCAAAAATATTTTAAGTTCATGTCTATATAGTACCAAGAATAGCCAGTCAAATTTCTAGTCAGTCTGATTTTATTTATCAAAGCAGCACAAGAGTCTCAAGGGGCACTTAATATTAGCAAATTTGGGAACAGAGTGTGGTCTTGTGATTCTTATTCTGAATCAAGCAAAAAGAACACTTTTTTTTTTAAAATTTAGACTCATAAATCCTAACATCCCTATATATTGCCATCTGATCTGCTTTCTGAACTCCAGTCTAAACAGGTCTTATTGACTTAAGGAATATCTAGATATTCACTCAAATAAAGACAGTAAGGTTGAGTTCAGTGGTCTAAGTCTAGATTTCAGTGCCATTTGTGATGACCCAAGGAATCCAGGCTTTCATGCTTCTGCAGAAAAGCACAGGTTTTGTGCAATTCCTACATGGTATTTTCTGGTCTTGTGGGGATATTTCAGATGCCCGGTCCCCTCTCTGTATTCATCTAAGCTGAGATATCTTCATCTGTGAGGAAGTACTTGTAACTTAGGTTATATAACTAAACATACTTTCAAACAGATGGCTCAGCAGCATCCATTTGTCTGATGTAGTGGGAATTGTAAATGTTGTCCAAGTGCAGATATGTGGTTAGCAAGCTCTAAAATCTTTACTGTGGATGCAGAACTAGTGCACAGCTATGTGCCAAGTGTGATTGGTAGTGGTTAAACCGGTAGAAGCCAAACAACTTACTGTGTAAGCATATCCAGAGAAGGTAAAGAAGTTCCCTTCTCCCTGCCCCTCTCAATGCCATAACATTCAGCATCCTGGCCCTTATCAGACATTTCCCTTCAGGTCTTCATTGCAATTCCTGTCAAAATACAGAGATGCCAACCTAAAGTCAACTCGTGCTCAAGAACATTTTACACAGATTTTCTATGTAAGGATTTTGGGAGTACTGCATTTCCACCACATCTCTTCTTATGCCAGGTGCTTTCCCCGCCACTGGTCATTCTCTTGAGGCCTAAATTCTCCGAGTAAAATCAGCGGAAGAATGTGTTAATTTCTCACTGCTGGCGACAACAGTATGCTTCCAAAGGAGAAATCTGAATATTCTTGGAAAATAAGCTGTATGGGTAAGTCTAAAATAGTTAACAATTTCAAAGTCTGCTGAAGTTCTGTCATGTATTTTGGGTGATCTTAGTGGTATTAGGATCCTTCAGAGGCACAAGAAAAGTGAACCTACAGCTTTAGTGAGCTAAAGAAGCTATATTTTCAAGATGAGAAGTGAAATTGAGAAAGACAGTTTGTTATAAAAAGTGAAAAGGTTTGTCAACAATTAAGTGAAAACCTCTGTTAAAGACCCAGCTGGAAATTACAGGCACCTCCCTTCAAAATGGAAATAGTTCCATAATATACAACCAGGATAGCAACTCAGAACTTACTGCCCCCGTGAGCACAGTGAATCCCCTTGCTCAGCATTGGTCTGCTTGGGAAGTAAAGCTGAGGGAGCTAATGCCTGGAACAAGGATGAGAAATTTCCAAGTGAGGTAGTGTTCTTTTGTGCCAGGAACTGCAACAGCCTGCACGAGCAGTTCAGAAGCCTTGTCATGATTTTCCCCAAGATTTTTCTCCTCTCTGAAGAAGGAAAAGGAAAATTATTAAAAAGTTTTAGATATGGAGATTAAGGTTCCCAGGACCTAATAATGGACATAATTCCTATCCAGAGCATAGCCTAGGAGTGCTTTCACAACACCTGCACACCTGCAATTCTGTGGCCTGGGGAGGGGGAACAGTGATTTAGGAGAGTAAATTGTGGGTAGTGTATGATATACAGTCTTTTCTTCAGCCCCACAAAGACAAATGGTGAAGATTTGCTGATCTTTTAGTCAGATATCTGTCACAGCACTTGCTGGAGACCCTCTTTTGTGAACAACTTTTTATCTGAGATGGCTTTTGAGAAGGATCTTTGAGGCATGGTCTCCAGAATGCTACATCATGGTTCTTCAGCACCCACTTCCACTTCCACTTGCATTTCTGAATCTGAGCTTCCTCTTGCTCAGAGGAGGGTGCAGAAAGATAGATTCTGGAATGAAGTGGTTGAGGTAGAAGTTTCTGGTGGGACTGATAAACATGGATAGAGATTTGCCCATCCCAGCCCCCTGTGTGGAGACCCATAACAATAATTGTTCTTCCCATATCTTAAGAAGCTCCTACTTATTACGGAGTTAATTAATATGGGGTTGAGAAAAGGGCACATTTTTTACTAAGTCTGTTCTTCCAGATTGAGAGGATTCTGCAACTCTTCAACACATGTTCTTTGCTTGGATTTATTTTTAGTAATGCTTTCTTCCTTTTTTGGTTTTTTGTTTTTATTTCCAAATATCTTTTCATAAAACTAAATTAAAAAAGAAGGGAGAGGAAATAAGTTTGCAGTGAAGCATATGACACTTCACTTTGTTACTTTAACGTAAAAATGGGCAAAGGTCCTGGAATATAATGGATCTATGAGCCATCTCTAAGAACTGCTTCCAAAAAAATTCCTTTCCATCAATCCATTTTTAAATACAAAGGAATAGAAGAAACGTTTTCAGCGTTTCACTGGATTGAGTATGCTAAAGGAATACCATGGGAATAAGTTTAGAAATACTGAGAATTCAAATTCACACTCTTTGATGTTAACAGCTTTCCTTGCCAAGACAGAATATTTTCCTCTACTTAGGATAGAAATTCTCACTGTTACACATATGCAGCTAAAGTGAGAATTTTCCTAGTTCTGATGCAGGTTAGTCGAGAAGGTCTTACTGGAGCACATACATGTTTTCTGCTTCTTGGTGACCAGAAGAATTAAATTAGACTAATGTCCCTGCCACCTCCTCTTCCCACCATGAAATGGGCTGATGGACAAGTAAACAGAGCCCTCTGCTTTGGGTCAAGATGAGCACTTTGGGCTATTTGGTCCTGAGAGTTATGGGATATGGTTATGCATGAGAAGAATAGGAGCCCCAGGCAGAAAAGTCAGAGGACTCTACAGCCCCAGAAAAACAGTTTCTGCTCGGAGCTTAGGGTGCCAGAGATCTGACATATTCACAGTAGTTCAGGTAGCTAGTTCAGCAAAGAAAGACAATATTTAGTCCTATTCTAAGCTCATCTTCCAGCTGAAGAAAGGAAAAGATAAGAAAGATGTATGTGGTCTTGCTGTAGTGGATCTTGGTCTGCTGTCAATATGAGAAGACTGTGGACATGTCATCTTTCAATGCCACCCATGTGGCTGCTGCCAGCATGACTCATAGGCACTGCCTATTCATGGTGTATGATCCATTCCATGGAGGGACTGATGGGATGCTCACTTATTGTATTTCTTCCTATCTGGTACAACAGAGAGTACCTTTAGCAACATTTGAAAACATTTGTTGATGGTTCTGTTTTCACAGTGTTTAAGTGTTTCTTGTTCAATACACCAAAATCACATGAGAACTGAATCACATTCACCCATCTCCAAACTGTGTGTGGCGGTCTGCACAGTATGAGAAATTGATAGCAGTCGTATATTTCAAGCTCAGTAACTCAGGCATCGGAAGAGCCAACAGTATTTTTTTCAACTTCTAACTAGATTTGTAATGCACCTGGTAAATGTCTACCCTTTCCGAAGAACAATTTCACTTCTGCTGAAATAAGCATTAAGAATACTAATGCGGGTCAAGTAGTTTATTTTTGGTATGAGCAACACTGTAAGTTGTTATAGGCAGACCCATAATGAATCTAAAATGAATAACAAGTAGTTGCCATTGTATGATTTAAGATTCTTTAAACAAAAGAGAAGGCAGTAAGAAAATCAAAGAAAAAGGTTCCTGAAAAGACAAAAGAAAAGAATGTTACAGCTGAGTTGCTTTTTTGCATTTGCTGTGACACTGTGGTGGGAGAGCAACTGTGGAGGTAAGTGGAGCCTCAGATAAAGGCTTGGAAAAACTCTAAAACGTGTTGAGAACAAAGAAGCCTTGAATCTCTGCAAGAATGTTTTTGAACTTAAAGAGCCAAATCTGAATGAAGAGTACTACCTCCAGTTTCCCACATCTCCTGGGACAGCTGGTCAAAAGCCTGGTAAGACACTGTTAACAGAGTGCACTGAGTCAAATTTTCCACCACACACAAATCATTTCCCTAAATAGTATTCACCACACTGTTCTAGTTGTTTTAAGCTGTTTCCAAATTAAATAACTAAAGCAGTCTGGGACAGGGTCAGTGTCTAGAAAGATAAGTTGAACTCTGGCTTATTCTTGGACATCATCTGTGTTTTTGGACAAGTAATTTGATCTTCTGTGACACAACAAATGTTTTTAGCTTAATAGAGGAAGCAAAATTTATGATTTCTGAAGAGAAGTAGAAGCATTAGGGGTCTGTAGCTTCCTTCACCCAGGAATGGACAAGAATCTCTGTTGTGCAAGTACACTATTCACTTTCTGTTTTCCCTCTTTTACTTATCTGTGAAGCGGAATTTCAGGTCATACTGGAGAACTGAATTTTTATTACATGCTTCAATTGAGATCAAAATGTCAAAACACTATAGAAAAGTAAATCTTTATTTTTAGCCAGAGAGGAAATGCATATACTTGAAAAGTCTGTCCTTGTGAAATGTCTGCAGCACATTTGCGGAGGCAAGAAATGCAACTACTAAGTGCTTTGTCCTGAAAAGACACTTCCATTGAATAATAATTAGTCCTTTTAAGTTAATTAAACCAAACCCTCCTCCCTTGCATACCAAATAAGGTCTTCATGACTTCAGGATGCTGGGATGCAGCTCAGGGTCCAACAATATGCCACCTTAACCTCTACAATATGTGCCTGTCAGCAGTCCTGAAACACTTGCGTTCCTCTATCTCCAGCATACTTAGGTGCAAAGTTATGTCATATTGTCCTGTTTTGCATTGTTATTTTATTGACAAATACTTTGTCCCTTTGCTACCACAAAAAATCCCAATGACTTCCTGCTGCTGAAAACTGACATTACAAAACAAGAGGAAGGTTTATATCAAAATGAAACCCAACAGAGCAATTGTATCAGAACAAGGTGTTCCTAATCTGATTAATAAGGACAACAGTCTGTGTTCATCTTTCTTCCAAACTTTTTACTTAAATAAGGCAAAATATGTATGAAGTACAACTTACCAATTTTATCCATCCCTACTGTCACTTGGCAGCATTTTCAGCTGATAAATTTGGTCCATCTATAGGTCTGCGATTTGGAGAATAGTCTGTGGATCTACTTGGGCAAAATAGGATGTAGTAAAAATAACAGTACTGGCACAGAAGGGAGCCCTGCATTTTTATGTGGATTTCTATCACTGCATTTCATAATAATTATTTTTCAATTAATTTTTCTGAAATACCACTACAGTTATATCTCACTTTAGTCACTGATAGTGGAACAAGAAAGAAATTTCCCTCTTTTGTGGTCCATTCTGCTTGCTTTCTCTCTTGCAACAATTGTACTGAAATCACAAAGAAATCACAAAGACTCTTTCTAGTGAGGTGAACATAAGTTGTCCTGTAAAGCTTGGTTGTACTTAAGTATTAAATAATAGTGCTTAGCACTTGTGCAACCTAATGCCTTACAATCTTCAAAGCACTTTACAAATCTTAACTAGTTAATCCCCACAGCAGCCCTGTGTGGTAGGCTATAAAGGTCACACATTAAAAATCTCCCATGATCCAAGCTTGACTGTATGGTAAGCCTATGGGAAAAAATATCTGCACAATTATGTTCCTGAAGCCATGAGGGTTTAATTTTACTGGACTGTAACATGGCTTACTTTCAGTAAATTTGTTCTGCTTTCTTATCTCACTCAAATCCATTACACACTGCAGCATGGCTCAGTATCACCAAAATTTTGAAGATTTTTTTTATTATTATTAAAACTCCTGGAAGCAAATGAGAAGCAGAGGATATGAATTTTATTTAAGAAATGAATTTTCTATTGCCAGTGATTGCAAAAACCATGCAAAGGGTCAGAAAGTCCCTAAAGACTGAAGCACTCAGAACAATAACTACCATTTTTAGCAACTTTTGAAAATTGGACTTTTGTGATACTGAGATTGCCAGACAAACAAAATATGCTTATACTCAGTTTCACTGGGA